ATCATGGACCCGCCTCCCCCGACCCAGTACGAATTCCGTGTTATCTATTGACATCATGGAGAGAACGGGTGCATTGGAAACAGTTTCTTTCATTTACTTCGTGTATACTCTCTGATATAGATTATTACTGGTTAAACCCAATTGATGATATTCTCATATTCTACTATATAGTTACTCTGCTGCGTGTTCTTTATGTGCATATTATACATACTTAAGTGTCGCATGCGGAGTCTTTGACAATAAGTATACTGTTCTGATACTCTTGTCTGTGCGTAACTTCACAGTTGCGACCGAGCGGCATAAGGTTATGTCGTCAAGGTCTGCGTTAGAGAATAGTAGTGATCGTCAAATAGGATACATTCTTACATCTGCCTCAGCACTCCCGAAACTTTTGCGATACATTGCAATTGGCAGAGAATTCGAGAAAGGTTCGATAGAGTCTTTACTAGAAAGTTTACCGTGCCTACCCCACTATATTTACTCTTGTACAATGTACATATAGCGTGATACTATATAGATAGGAGTCTGTTCTCTTTGATGGGTTACGAACATAACCAACGCTACAGCAATACCACCTCGAATTCCCAACCGAAAGGTAATTTTGAGAAAAAAAATGTTTATGATTCAGAACAACCGTCAAAAAGCGTTGTTTGCTGGTTATTTCCGGTTGTAATTGCTAGTTAGTAAATGTGTGCTTATCTTGCATATAACATAAAAACCTATAATTAATACATATTTTATCTTTTTTTTTTATATCTACTATGGAAAATCCTGCACATACTTCTGACGGATTATGACCCCCAGGTTGTGCAGTTGAATTTCACTTAGTCGAAAATGGGGTCAGAATAACATTCGAAGTAAAATACAAAGAGCTTTAGAAGATATATCTTAGACATAATATACCCGATAGAATGCCGCAAAACAATATTAACCAACATAATGTGAAAGAAAATAGGGTTAAGGGTGAAAAATATTCAAATGTTACTGTGAGCAGGAAAGTGCTCAGGATAGTATGTAATAAACATGATTGCTGATTGGAATCAGATTGCTGGAGGAACATTTAAGGCTACTTGGAGATCAGCGTGCGCAGTGATGCAATCCACACTATCAGGACGTTATTTAATTTGTAACACGCATAATCACTAACCTAATCATCGCCGCCTTCCCCTCAAACACACATAAACCACATTTGGACAATCGCTCTGCTAGGAATTTGCACATCGGACGATATACAACACTTACATTACAAATAGAGTAAATAATGATAATAATAATAATACAATTAATAACAAATAACAATAATAATAAAATAATAATAATAATAATAATAATCAATAAATAATAATAATAATAGATAATAATTAATAATAATAATACCGTTACAATACAGTACAAGACGAAAACAGCAGCATCTTGACAATGGTAAGCATTGATCACGCTTCACGCACTTCACTTCACTTCACTTCCACTTAACACTACATTTTTTTTTTGCTTTGCGGGTATTACCTATTTGCGAATATAATCATAGATAATAATAACGTAAATAATTAAATAATGAGAAATATAATAATAATAATAATAATAATAATAATAATAATAATAATAATAATAATAATAATAAAAGTAATATTGTTAAGCACGAAGATTCAATTAGTTTTGTGATGTGGGCATTGCTAGTATTCGTTCGGCATTGCGTGAATCGCCATGAGGGAATGTAATGAACTCTCCTGTCGAAAAAAACACGTGCCACGTACATACGCGGCGTGAGTCGGTTGACTTCTGACCCGTTTTTACGAATGAATCCTGTTCGGCTCGCAACTGCCCTGTAATTTAGTCACATTATCTCCCATCTGGTCGCCATACGTTGTAACTCCCAGCGTGCGAGCTACCCATTGTTCGTTCTTTTTTCGAGTTAAACGGAAATAGAGAGGTTTGTTTGGTAGGTCTAAAAAATAAACTCCCACCTTCGCTGTTAGCAATTAGCGACTGCCATTCAGACATTTTTTATAACTGCTGCTTGCTGCTGCTTTAAGCTGCTTAATTTGCAAGTTGTTCTTCTCGAACATTCAGCAAGTACAATTGTACATAAATTTCTGATCTGTAAAGAAACCATTAAGTAATGGTTCTTTTTATATAGTTGTCCAAAAAGAAAATATAAATTCATTAAATTATAAAATAATAATACGAATACAAACATCCAGTCAATGGTACAAACACTAGATAGAAATGAAACTTATATAATCTAAAATACAATTTACTACAAAATTGTATTATTCATAATTGTGTTTAGGTCAAGAGGGTGTATTCTTTTCAGTCTTAAGTATTCTCCAAGAATTTTGTGGCTAGATGATGAGCCTAATTTTCGATTCTGTGTTGGCATTTGACAGATTGGAGAGTAATTCCTTCTTTCATAGGGGTAACATGGAGGTCTGTCTTTATGGTGGTGTTTGATACAAACCAGGGTAGCCTTACTTATTAATATGAGATTTTTATATTGAAATATGTGAAGAATTTCGATATTTAAACTTGAGGCAGTTCCCCAGAGTTCATTTGGTTTGGTTTCAGTATAGTAAAGCAATTTTGTAAAGTGAAACTTTATTTTATAACAGTGGCGTAACTCACATTTCAGGGGCCCCAGCTCAAAACCTAAATGGGGACCACCTCAAAATATTTTGTCCAACTAAAAAACGCGTTCTAAAAACTAATTGAAAGACACTTATTTAACCAGAATCAATCACAAAATTCAGAATCGTGTTCTGAGGACTTTCACTTTGCCAAACATATATAAAACGTCGCCGAGGTTCGCTTTTAAAGAGTTTGTACTCTGCTATTCGGTGGCTAGGGTGAGCTCGGAATTTGTCAGCGTCCGTACAACTGTTTTACCTTACATTTAATTTACTGGACGTTTTTATTGATACTCTCTAAGGACCATATGCTAAAGTTTTATTTTTAATATTTTTAGAGGGGACCTCTGGGAGGAACCACCATACATGACTTTTGACTTAAACCGGTCTTCCTTTATGTACTAATGAAATGTTTAAAATAATTTTTAATGAGACCCAAAATAGGGCTTCCCAAAACATTAAATGAAACAATAAAAAATTAGTTCCCCGGGATATTAAATTACAAATTTGAAAAGCATTTTAGCACCATCGTAATAAAATAAGCAATTTAAACTTTACACTAGTCGATTAATGGTAATAAACAAATCGCTTTCAGAATGAGCCTTTATGAATATTTCAGAATAAGCTTAGTGCATGACGTTTCCTGGCTTCTTTTTTGGGAGAAAAATTGTATATCCGTATATTATGCATCTGCGTCTTAAGTTAACATTCGCGTTCGAATGTGAATGCGAATTTGTGATTCAACAACTTACTTTGACTGCCTCGTGTACAATGTTCGGCATGCGCCCGATGAAAGTTTTAGCAAAATGTCCCTTCTGATCTTTGCGTGCGTGGATGGAAACAAAAAAACCGAGACCGCGGTAGCGGACAATAGCCGAATTGCTGGAACGCATTTGTCGCCAGCGAGCATTTGTCTCGGGTTTCTTCCCAACGCTATTCGGCACACGATACAGTACTCTGTCATTGGGTGGCAAGGGTGAGTCGGTAATTTGTGGGTGTCCTTAAAACCGATTTCACCTTACATTCAATTTACTGGACGTTTTTATTGAAGTACAGTGTCTACGGCGACGTCAATTAATTAAATTTTATAAGAGTTGAAAACATTTTAATGGCATGCTCTTTGGTCCAGAAATGAGTTCGAATTTTACAAACAACTCCGCAAAAAGGAGTTACGTAGTAAGTAGAGTACTCCGTCAAGAGTATTATGAGTTAAGTAGTAAGTTCTACTTCTCGACGAAGTTGCAGACGTGCCCCCAGCCATTCGTGGTTTGTACTCTCCTTCTCCGCCGCAGAGAGCCCTGTCAGATGTTTAAATATCAGAGGCTTACGGTAGGGACGCGAACCGACCCAAATCTTGCGCCTTTCACCCGCCCGCCGTGCCATCCCCCGCCCCTGGCCATCTTATACTCAAATATTTATGATAACTTAAATTATCTAAAATAAGCTCCAGTGCTTCAATTGTATTCAAAAATCTTTTTCTCTTGAAATGCAACCTTCTCACATTTTTTATCTATTTATAGTCTGCATTCTTCCAAAACGGTTGATTTTTCTCTTTTTTATAATGTGCTGCAATACTGTGCACAATTAAACCAGACACCTTTCGTGTGACTACTGGAAAGGTTCCTGCGTTTTTATCCTAATTGATTATTTGCAAATCAGAAGGCGATGTTGATGAGATGATGAAAATGATGGCATTGGTTTTATCTTCATGATGAAGCTAATCTTGAGCCGATGCGGGCGTCAAGTGCGCGAGGCTCTGTTTGATGATGGTCGACTGTCTTCTTTGCTTTGGGGGGCGGGAGTCCCAGAGGTGGGGGGGGATAAGGCCCCAAATGATAAGAGGTGAATTGCGAATGGCCCAGATTTTAAAAGTACATTTTGAATTTAATGATTATTTAAATAACGGCAAGATGTTGAAGTTTTCGAAAATGCCACCAAAAATGTTCAACTCATACTTATGGTCATAATTTTCTAATTCCTGTTTTAATGCACTACAATATTTGCTAAAAGAGTAACAATCCAATCTAAAATCTTGTAAATTCCAAAGTTGATACACTTTTTAAATTGCATTTACGTAATTGTTTTAATGAAGACGAGTAGAAGGAATGAAAACATAAAATGGAAAACTAGAAAATATATAATATAATCACTTTTATCTTTTTTCCCAAAAGTTGGCGTAGATTCACTCGCAGGTAAAATCTTACTTTCTCGTGTCCTCAATGTTTAAATCGTGTTGTTTTTTTGTGAATATAAAGCATGAAACCCCAAATGATTTTGCTTCACAACACATTTTCTACAAAAACATACTTGAAGATGTGTGAAAGAATGTAAATAATGTATAATTAGTAAAATATGCTAGAAATGATTTCAAATAAATTAATTTTAATTCAAATATATTTATTGAATAATGCAATTGAGATGATGTATTGATACAAGTCCAACAAGTAAGGCTGGACTGCATTGGCATCCATTTCCATTATACATTGCAACGGAATGACCATTTTCCTCTGATCTTTTATATCTTAACCACTTGAGGTAGTATTTTACTAAACGTTTAAACATTAAAATTAGTAAAAAATAATTCTAAAGGGAACTAAATGAAAACAAAGGATTTTCAATGTGTTTTTTAAGCGAGCATCTAAATCAAGAAAAGACTATCACGAACATATTTTATTGACCCAGTAATATTGTGTAGAAAAACACATGGTATTTATTAAATAATATAAGAAACTACAGAATTTAAAAAACTGTATTATCATAGTTTTTGCGTCTATCATCAAGTCGTATTCGTACTCCATTTACAGGTTTCAGGATGAGTTTCCAACCTGGAAGAACTGTAAATCCTGGTTCCACAAACATCTCGAAGTTCCAGATTACCTTGGCAAGCACGCTCTTCATTTCCAGCATGGCGAATCGCTGACCTGCAAACAATAGCAATGAATATTTTTTAACTAATAGCTTGAACTAAACCTCCTCCACTATTTGATAACTGACACATTTGTCAAAAATATCGAAAATCCGCCATCGCCAGGCCTCGTTCTCGAGGACCTCCGGGTCAGAGTCGCTTCAGAGGCAGCGGCATTGCTAGCTATGAGGTAAATAATTAACTCAATTAATGAAATACAATATAACATTTCATGATTAAGATTAATTTCTTATTTTTTAATGTATGAATGTTTTATGGTCCTAGTTAATCTACACACACACACACACAAATGATACATCAACCTGCTCTTTGACGAATTTGCAATAATTTGAGCTAGTGATTCTTCGAAAATACTCCAGCTTTTATGCTGTATTTGTTGCAATCTTAAAACAATTCTAATATTTTTAGTGAATATATCAGTATACAAGTATTTTTAGTCATTTTACAAGAACAATTGACATTACGGCATAAGTTTAAGCTCAATTTTGGGCTATAAATAACATTCAAGGAATGTTGTGAAAAGAAGTATACTCTAAAGATATCTCATAATAATATAGTTAAAAACTTCTAGAACATGTAGACGGTTAGGAAATTATAACTTTTCGCCAATGGCCATATAGTTGGAAATTGCATATAACTGAGTTATAGGCATTTTTAGTAACGTTGTCCCTGGTTGCAAGGCCATTCGAAATGCACATAATTCCACGAGCAAATGAAATCTTCTAGACTGCAACAGAATGTGCCCTGAAGAAAATTTATTATACAAAGAGTTGCCTAAAAATTAGTGGAAAATGTTACGAAAAAAAATTGTGAAATTGCAAACGACAAAAACATATTGCAGAGAGAACTGGCTAAGGATTGTACCAATCATTTTCACCACTCAAAAGAAATATAATAAGCTATTTTCACCTTGGGTTACCGTACACCCTAGCTTCCGTAGATTACCCAAATCTCGTTTTAGTTACTTAAACCTTGTTTTATCGACTATTTCACTCGTGAAATTAAGTCTAATCTGTTGTGACTCGTAGGTAATCGCATGTGCACACCCAAATTAATTCAGTGCACTTTCTCGTAAACATCTTTTAACAAGAGTGGAATACAAGTCCTCTCAAAGGTTTTCCCAATCATTGTATTTCAAAACACGCGCCGTTCGGAAGCTGCGATTGACAATCCGCCGCCAATGGCCTTGGTGTCATACAGCCGGCCCGGGAAATACGAACTAGGAAAGGGGGTCGACTGCCGCAGGGCTGCAGGAGAAAGGCGGGGAACAACGGTGGCTTATGGACGGTATGAGCACTCTGCCTACAATGCATTATTGCTCAGACGCAGTAGCGATATCTGCGAGTACCTTGACATGATTCGAAGACATAACACTCGGATAGCACAAGTTTTTAAGAGAAGAATCTGTGAGATATCTCTCCAATGTGCTCTGATCCCTTCAAAGCAGTTTTTCTGGCGTGCGAAACGCGAACACATTTGCTATGAAGTGTTGCATTCATAAGTATGGTGTTAATACAATGTTAAATGCACATTTTATGTTTTAAAGCAAGTTGCTATTACAGATTCATTCCAAAGTATGTGAAAACCCAAATGTATTTTGAAAATGAATGTAGTAGGCTGCTGCTGGTGGACCTTAGCTTGTAAGAGCTGATGTGACAAAGTACATACATACATGTAGTAGGCTACTTTTTAATGAATTTCGAAACTCCTTGTTGAAAAGATTGAGCGTTTAATGAAGCAACAATTTTAGACTAGTTTTTCGACAATGTAGACCCTAAAACTATCCTGATTTTTTTAGTATTGGTTAACTTGTTTACTTTTTTTAGTATTGGAAAACTTGTAGTTTCAACCTTAAATTTGTACAGCGAGCTTATGGAAAATGCTTTTATAACAACGTGCTAGTAAAATGTTTTGAATCAATGTGTAAAATAGAACTCTTGATATCTTTGGAAAAACTGTTCTGGAACGTGCTGAGTCGCCACGTGGTAACCCGACCCTAGTCGTAAATATTTCGGAGGTGTCCTGGCCGAGCGAAGTTGAAGCGGGTGTTGTGAGGAGAAAGCGACCAACCCTCACTGTTAATGAACGGTACAGTTCAGCATGCTATCAGACTTCATAAAAAGCCATCTTGTAATTTTCTTTACTTATGTTAATGAATATATGTGTATGTTTGTAATGTATGCCTGTAAATATGGTCATGTGTGTGTAAGTACATGTGTGTGTGAGATAGATAGATAGAGATAGATACATAGAGGCAGAGAGGGGGGAGGGAAAGGGAGAGTGAGAGGAAGGAAGGGAGAGAAAGAGAGGCGTTGGACACCCTAATAGGATAACCACTAGCCGACACTTGCGTCCAATGGTGATTAAGAATGGACACGGTAATTACAATTCAGAACAGTGAGTGATTCACAAAAAAAAATTACCTTTAGCGATAAGTCTCCATGTATCCCCATGAATGTGACACTAAGATACAGAGAGTTTCTTGCATTATATGTACGTTGCAAAAAAGACACACTACTCTTATAGAACACAACATATGTCCGGTATCGCTCATGTTAGTAGACTCGACTTGTAACTTAGGCTTGAAAGACATGTTGCTGAGGATTAAAGTAGGTATTTCTGCAAGGGGCGAAAGGAGGACAAAAACACGAACTTTGATGAAAGCGTAGGCTTTCTCGGAAGGAGTAAGTAGAGAGTTCTTTCCCTTAACCGAAACGGCTAACGTTAAAAGTTAAAAATAATGTTACGTCGAATCTTGAGTGAAACTCGAAGAGAGAACTTTTGCAAAACAGCATACAAGCTGATAGCATTCCGATAGCATTACTCATTAGTTTGGCGCTTTTTCGATTTCGAACATCGATTTTTTTCATTTTGTATACTGCGGATTCCACTTAGTACTTCCATTTTACACCGTGATCATTTGTTTCCGGGAAAACACCGAGAAGCGATTGCTAAGTGTGACCTAGTGTTCGCTTCTCTTTACTCTGGTTGTGCTCCCTGCTACGAACAAAATAATGAAATTTTAGAACCAAATCGACCTGGAATGATAAAGTATGTAACAATTGGGATGTTGAATTGCTTCTTATTTTAAAGGGATATCTCGTTTTCGAAACCATAAGAATTTCAGTATTCCTCCTCACTTGCATCAATCCTCACAAGGAGTCAAATTTCCTTCATTGGCATACATAATGTTTTTTGGCTTTTGTCCGCTATGATGAATTTTACTTTTTTAAGACACACTAAGAACCTAAAACAAGTAGAACCGGCAACCGATTATATAAAGCCTCGCTTACTAAACCGAGCCCGGTTAACGCTTATGTTTGCTACAGAGTCCGAAATTAATGCCCCTGGCGTCACCTGACAGTAGCAAACGCCGATGTGCACAAACTAGGCTACTAAGTACTTGGCTCTCTGGGAGACGCCGCGTCCTAGAAAAATGGAACAACGTGTCGACTATCAATCTGCGGCCTTCCTCAGGGCGAAATGGGGCATACGTGATGCCGATGTATTGGTCGGACAGCTGGGAAATGAAGTAGCGGGAGTCACCCACACACTGCGGTCGCAGAGTGACTCACCGATGCAGTTGCGCGGGCCGGCGCTGAAGGGCAGGAAGGCGTAGGGATGTGAACGTGAGAGGTAACCACGAGTCGTTAGAAGAGTTAAGTGATTTTAGAATACCGTTTCGTTGCAAGACTACAAACTGCGCGTGTGCCTCACCGATGCAGTTGCGCGGGCCGGCGCTGAAGGGCAGGAAGGCGTAGGGGTGGCGTCGCGCCGTCTCGCCCGCGCTGAAGCGCTCCGGGTCGAACTTCTCCGGGTCCGGGTACACTTCCGGGTTGCGGTGCACCGCCCAGGGGCTGACGATCATCACGGTGCCGTCCGGGATCACGTGACCCGCTGCAAGGGTAAGGGATACACTCTCAGACGCCATCTCTCCCTTGAATCAATCATGAATCCAAACACAACGAAATGGCTTAATTGTGTCATTTTTGTCTACTATTATTTGAGCTACAATGAATCGAGCGACATTCGGGCAAGAGAATGTCAGTGATACGGGAGAATTGTATAAAGATAAAACTCCAGGGAAATACATTGAACACAGCACTTGAATTAACGCTTCATTAATGCAAGGGAACAAAACTAATTGTAATACAATTGAAATCGCGAAGTTTCCTGTCGGAATCAACATTTTCTAAATTATAGCGAGAAGTTGCAGCTATTTTTTACTGCGCTCTAGCTGACATCACTTACTGGACGGTAGTTTATCATCTTCCGTTATGTCACGGAAAATCGCAGGCACAGACGGATACAGTCGAAGAACCTCCTTAATCACCATTTCCAAGTACTTCAGTTCTCCAAGCTGTTGAATTGTCGGCTGTAGAGGTTGCGACCAGTCGAACACGCTTTTTAGCTCTTCCAGAACTTTTTCCTGAAGATTAGGGTGAATAATGATTCAAAAAAACTAATTAGTCATTCTTGGATACAACTAGGTTTGCAAATACTAAAATTTACGTTACAAATTATACATACTTGAACATCTGGATGACTCGCCAACAGATAGATGGCGAAGGAGAGAGCAGCCTCTGTTGTGTCTTGACCCTCAAATCAATATCAAAGATTTTAATCCAATTACAATATATACGGGTATGATTTCCATAAAGCCAAAATTATCTATTTTCAATTAGGTTGATAATTGTTTTCAGCAAGTGACATCTTAGCCCTGTAACATAGGACCGGTATAAAATGACACTCGTGCAGCACGATCAACCTAATTGAAATTAGTGTTGCTTCTACTGCCATAGCCCACTACTAAGTTTAAAAGCGTCGGCGCTCCGGTCTGGTTCTTGTATATAGCTAAAAGTTCCGCAACTTACCGCTGGCGCGCTGCTCGCCATTCCGCGATCGACTGCTACATACAAATATACGGAGATCCGCTTTACAAACATAGAACTTCTCCGACATCGGGTCTTTCAATTCAAGTACTTAGGCCTCACCATTACTTCATGAGCAACAACAGCAATGTTTTTACAATCACTTACACTAAATGTTTACCAATTATGTCAGTGATCGTTATTAAATGTACTGCGCTCTCGCAGGAACCGGTTTCTTAGCAAAGATGGCTGAATATATTTTTGAAAATTTCTTATACCGATCATTGGACGTTGTGGTACAGCTTTCACAATAAATTGCGCTATCACTGATTATCTTCAGGGTTATTTAAAGATGATTTTGATTTATTTAACACATAAAAAATTACAATTATCTCATATTAAACACAAATTAACTTACATTCTTAATGTTTCTCAACGTTAATAAAATATATAACCCTTACATTGGCTACCTAACAATTCACTTTAGTCTCAAAATTTGACACAAAAAAACTCACAAATAGCTCAAGCGACTTCTGTTTACATTCAACGAGAACACACTGGCTCAAGTACTGGGAATGATCGTCTGATACAGCTTTGGATGTTTCACGTATTGTAACAATTTGCAATCAAATGTGATAGATTTTCTCACAATTGACATTGGAAATCACATGTTATCTTATTGTTGACTTTTATTTCTAATGCCTGAAATGTTGCTTTGTTGTGGAATTTGGAAGCGGCTTACGGCAAACCGTAGAAAGAATTTGTACAATGTACATCAGTTGATCTCTTTTCGGATTTCTTTTCGTGTACGTGCACGAGAGCGTTTTTGCCAAGGCGTTTGTGATTTGGAGTGCTATTTGATGAGTGAACTTTCATGGGTGTTATTCTTACAGCGCCCATCGTCCGTTTAAGAAGTAGTTTCTTCCAGTTATTTAGTGATTTGTTTTTCTTCTACAATAAACAATTCTATTTTGAATTTGTATTTTAACATTTTTTATTTTTGTAATATAGTTTACAGAATGAATTCAGTTAGGATATATTAAAATAAATGGTATAAAAGCTGATAAAGTAATGTTTTGCTTTTTTCATTTTCCTCCATCTTCTTTAATAAGTTTAAAGAAATTACATGCATTATAGGTCTCTCTAATCGCATGAAGATACAGTAAATATAAGAAATAATTAAGAATAAGTATTGTATTTTATACGTGAAAATGAACTACTGCTGTATCACCAACAAGGTAGATCACGCACTTCGAGGGTTAATTTGAAGTATTCACTTCACAACTTCTTTTAAGCAAAGTGCCCAGAGATATATCATTTGCGTATTGTTTAGTATTACCGTCAACACGAGTTTGCAATTCCTGATATCACTGTAAGGGACCAAAATAGCCCGAAGTGCAGGCATTTCCTCACTTATTAAAGCAGCTCGAAGGTCTCGCGAATGGTCGTCGGCCAGAGCTCCAGCGGCCACAATGCGAAACTTCGTCCGTTCGCTGGCTCCCAGGCGACGAAGTGTCGCGGCTGTTAGGCATACTAGTGGGCTAAGCTACAGCACGTACTTTCTCACACTATTTTTAAATTTTAAATTTTCAAAATTCCAGTGAGTTTAGCGAAAATGAGACCCACGCCATTTTTTTAATACCCTTCTTCTATCCAATAAAAATTTTAGAACGTGATGGGAGTTTTTTTGTTTTACAAATTGCAATTATCTCTAGCACAAATTATGAAAAAACTTATCGTTTTTCAAAAAATTGTACTGGACATTTTTAAAAGATTATTTTTACAGTAGGTAAAAATAAAACTCTCTAACTTCAATTTTGTAATTTTGAAATGTTAGCTTTTTGCAATTTTCGAAAATACGAATAGTTCACGGGGAATGAGACTAGCACCAATTCTTTTACTTTCTTTTTCTTATTCATTGATACATACAAAGATAAAATTAAATGAAAAAATGTGATGCAGTTTTGAGAAAAAAATAATTATAAAATTCGTATATTTCACTCAAAATTACACGAAAACTGTTCGCATTTTCGAAAAATCGTTCATGACTTCATTACAAGATCTGTCTTTAGAGAACAGATTTTATTCAGGAAAAATATCTGTCTTGAACATTTTAGTTGTAGGAAGACGCCAAAAAGATGAACTCTTGCAATTTTCGAAAAAAATTAAGAAGTTTAAATGAGAATGAGCTCTGTAACATTCTTTTAAAAGTCCTTGGCGGCATCCGAGGACAAAGTTGAATCAAAACAATTAAACTTATTTTGGGGAAGTGTTGAAAATATTGAGGCTTCATGTGAAATATCCCCCTAAATCAAAATACCCATTTAAAACCGAGAAAGCCTTGAGTTTATTGAAATTAATCCGGGAGCATCAGTTTTAAGGGAAATCGGTTGATCGGTGTTCGTCGCTAGCGTTGACCGATGATGGACGCACAGACAGAAAAACAGTTGTTTTGGTCGATTTTTCGGTATCAAGAACCACTAAACCAGATTTGGTTTACACAATATGTTATACGAACAAGATTTATTAATTTTTTCATTGCCGGAGCCCGGCAATAAGATTTTATGCCGAAAATTTGCCTTTTTCCAGAGCACGACTGCAATACTTTTTCTTCTTACGAAATAAGGGCAATAAAGAAAAAAGTAACATGCCATTTCAAGAAAAAATGGGAACATTTTAACTCCCGGTAAAGTATTCAGGGTAGAACTGACCAAGGTTTTTAAAAAACGGGATCATCACGTATTTCAGGAAACAGACTCGTACACGAACCGCAACAAACGACTTGTTCTAAAGAGTAACATAAGGTTTTGGAAAGACATTTCCATGTACCGGCACAGTCTTTTGGAAGAACGGGACTGGACATGGAAAAACGAGACAATGGCTTATTTTAGGCAATGTGCACAAAACTATTAAACGACTAGTTTCAAAGAGTAGCATAAGGTTTCAGGGAAGGTAGGGATATTTTGAAACTCCAGCAAAGTATTTCGGAAGAACGGATTAGGACTCAGATAAATATGACCATACTGTATTTCATTGAATGTACATGAAGATATTCGAAGTTCAATTTTAAAGAGTAATGAGATTTCAGGAATTATTGGCGTTTGTAGATGAGCAAGTGATACCTCGAACATGAAGGTGTCCACCTCCTCGCGAATGTCTGCGTCCGAGAGGCTGCCGTCGCGCGCCGCCAGCAGCAGCAGGTCCAGGAACGCCACGCGCCGCCGCTGCCCTGCGCATGCGCACACACTACGTCAGATTCGCCAGCAACAGCAGGACCAGGAACGCCACTCTGCCGCCGCCCTGCGCATGTGCAGACACGCCAGATACGCCAGGATACAATCAGATACACAGTCATATACGCCAGGAACAGCAGGTCCAGGAACGCCACGCGCCACCGCCGCCTGCGCATGCGCACCGAATACGTCAGATTTTCCAACAGCAGCAGGTCCAGGAATGCCTTGAGTTGCCGCCACCGCCTGCGCATGCGCTCTCAGTACGCCAGATACGTTAACAACAGCAGGTCTAGGAACGGCACGCGATGGCGGCGCCCTGCGCATGCGCTCACACTACGTCAAATTCGCGAACAACAGCTGTTCCATGAACGCCAGGCGCCGCCGCGATCCTGCGCATGCGCACAAACGCCAGCACGTGCGAAGCTAAGAACTTGAATGCACTGAGCATCCTTCTTTGCCGCCACGAAGCATCCCCTCCAAAAAGAGGATCACGTGACACTGAACACAAACGGGATATTCCTCGGAAGTACCGAAATATCGGACAATTAATGGGGCAAAAGTTTCACAAGGGCTAAATATGTGACTTTCCGAAAGTTATGCAACTAATTGATTATATCATTTATTAATGAAATCTGCAATTTAGAAAACCGTAATTTGAAACAAAAATATACACTTTCATATTTCATATTTCAACAATAATTTGAATATCACGTAACAATATTTAATGTGTGACTATTTAATTTGTCTTCTTGATTTTACAACCCACCAATGTCGTCGACGTCAATTGTAGAGTTCATTGCAGAGTCCTTGCCCATCTCCAGTAGTCCTTCTCTTCTCTCCCTAATTACCTGAAATGTTAAAAATCGCTAATGAAAATATCTTGTACATCAAGAAAAGAAAAAGAGAAGAAACATTTTCAAACAATGTTCCTTACTCTCTCAGTTGTTCCATGCAGTACTTGTAAACATTTCTTGTATCTGCGACCAGGTGTTGTCATATAAAATATAAAGTCTAGATGCAGCCACGGACGAATGGCGCGCATCGCGGTAATCGATGTGATCCTGTGGGAACAAAATATACTTTAATACGTTATTTGACTGATTGGTACTAAACGTAAACTAAAAGAAATTAAATTGAAAGATTTATACAGAGGCAAAGAAGGTGACATGGGGATACACAGATCACATAGGATCCGAAGAGGTGGGTACATCGAGCTAGTACATGGTACACAAGAATTGGCAAAAGAAAAGTGGGACGTCAAAATCTCGCTGGTGGGAAAAAGACGAGGTTTAGCTGGTAATCTCTGGTCAAGAAAAGCGATAAATAATCCAGGTAGTAGGTACGATAATTGTAGCGGGTTCAGCGCCCGACAATGGTCAAGTGTGCGGTTAACAGCGAACAAAATGGACAGAAGACAATAAGTGGACAGAGGACAAGAATGGTGGTGCAGACAGTGAGCAATAAGTGGAATAATAAAATGGTAAATGCCAACAATATAGTCAGTGGACATACACTATATAGGCAGTGGATAGTCGATAATATGGACAGTGGACAATAAGCTTTATTAAAACGCTCTCTAGAGATAACTTACCCGAAAGCAAATCTAATTTTGAGCCTCTCCAATAATGTGGGAGGTCTTGTCCAACACTCGGTTCAATAGCTTCATTATTATTATTATTATTATTATTATTATTATTATTATTATTATTATTATTATTATTATTATTTAGGAATTTAGAAATTCTGAAGGACCTTGGGGTATTTAGTCTTCAAGAGAAACTCAATTACTACCGAAATTCTTGGATCCAGAACATTGAAAGGATGCAATAGAAACGCCGCCGAAAAGAGCTCTACAATACCACTCACAAGGGCGAAGAAATCCCGGCCGCCTGAAGAAGAGATGGAGTGATCAGATGGGAAGGAGGCGTAACAGGCAGTGCCTATAGAGGAAGAAGGAGAAAAAGAAGGAAAAAAAGAAGAAAAGAAGGAAGATCGGTGCTTCTAACATATTTTCCTTCATCACCAAAAGTTATTTAGAATATTTCATAGCTTCAAAAAATAACATTTCGAGGATGTTAGCTGATCTGCCTCACACATCGTATGCTACTGCTACTCAAGAAGCACATGCATCTCTATGAAAAGGTGATATGTATGAAATATGAGTGACTGATGGCAATTATAAATTCACTCCAAAATAAAAAAAAACTTTATTTATTTACTTATATCTCAACTTTAATAAATACAATTTATAAAAATGTAAGTGTTGCGTTGGTAAGAGTGCGGGCCATAAAGTATTCAAAAGACTCTCGGGCATAAGGAATTAGAAAGGTCGGCAATGGTATTAACTATACTATTACGTGTTTTATTGCAGTTTTGTAAACAAACAGGAATGTACTAGTCTACCATATAAAAATGTATCACAGAAGAGCACTCAGTTTGTTAACACTTACTCGTTGACAGCTTGTACGTAGGTTGAATTTGCATCAGTTTGTGCGTTTATCTTGACTCCCATTGCCGTTTCTGAAAAAAATAAATAGTTATAAAACATAAAGAACTACTTGGCTACATAATGGCACAGACATTCGCGAACTAATAAGTTTAATAATTTCTTCAATTTGAGTAGATTGTTTAGTCTTGCTGAACACTTTTCAAAACTGATATATACCAAATACATTTTTTCAATTTCTCGATTCTCTAAAATAATACTGAAGAGTAAAACTAGTTATAAAGGCAAACATTGATTGAACAATTTTAAGAAAATATCGTTTGAGCGCTTCTGAATATGCGCAATTTTGAGCGCATATTCACAGAAAAGTTTCGTGTACTCAACTTAAAAAGAAATCATTTGAAGTACATGTCCTCACAAATACCGAAAGGTGTAAAAAACGGCTAAAAGATTAAGACGTAAGAGACATTAAACTAGTGCTGCAACAGAACTGCACAAACTTTCTCGTACTAGTTTCCCAACTTCTTGCGTCTGGCGTAGCTTTTCGGTCTTGCCCCGTTCTCCTGTCGGCTGCCAACTATCGCAGCCAAGAGTACATTTTTTATCGAATCTCAAGCAGAAATATTACTTTAAGAATATTATATACAAGTAGATCCTCGATCTATTGGCAAATCTTCATTTACAAATTTGGAGCGGTTTTAAGCAGTTTACCGGCGTGAGAAATCTTTCACAAAAATTACATTTGTGTAATTTTTGAAAAACAAATAATACCCCGAAATGTACTTTACGTCATATTAAAGAGTGAAATTAGCACTATCATTTCTAAACTTTTGAAGAACACATCTTGAACAGTTTTTGAGAAATCGCGATTGAGGGTTTCTCAAAATGCAGAAAATTTGGTTTTTGAGAAACTTTATGACATTATTTAAAACACATCTACTAATAAGTGCAATAATGTAAACAAATCGCCATTAAAGTAAATATTAACGACACGAGAGACAAGTCAAAAAGTAAAGTTTTTGAAAAAGCAAAAGAATATGACTTTTAAGACATCTCATAGAGTACATTAGGCAATATCCCTACCAAAAGCTTGAAGAAAAAAATTGCACGCCAAATTGCACGCAACCAACTAAAATATTCGAAAAATGTGAAATACCTTAATGAAGAAATTCAACATGGAGAACAAATTTCATTTGAAAGAAGAACTTCTCTTTAAATTTGTATTTGTAGGAAGTCGCCGAAAAATATCAAAATTTCGCAATTTCCGAAAATGCAGAGATAACAGTAAAAATCGAACCAGTGCAACCTGAAAGTACTCGTACAAAAAATTAAATTTTTCTTAAAGAAAATATTAATTCGTTCCCTTTTTAAGAAAATGTGCAAATTGTCTCAGGGGCTATATGAAAGGTACCCGCAAATTGTAAAGAATGTTTTTCAAAATCTCAAACCTTTGAATCGAGCCAGTGACCGTGTTTTTTTAAATTTGGAAAAACATATCCTACGCATGGTTTAGGCCGTTCACTGATGGACGGACGGATGACTGATAGGACAGACATATGGGCACCCATACGGACGGACACTTCGAATAAAAAACACCTTTTCGCTATCAGGGGACACAAAAACGTGCATTTCCGTTGACATCTTGAAATCGATTTTCCCCATCATTACATAACTGTTTCTATACTACATATATTATTCTGTATATTACTCTATATTACTCTGTATATTACCCTATATTACTCTATATTACTCTGTATATTTCTCTGTATATTTAACTGTATATTTCTCTGTATATTTCTCTGTATATTTCTCTGTATATTTCTCTGTATATTTCTCTGTATATTACTCTGTATATTACTCTGTATATTACTCTGTATATTACTCTGTATATTACTCTGTA